CGAATACAGATGGTTCTGACGTGAATTTAAAGTCGCCAGTTGCTGCTGGGGTCCAACAGAATTGAGTTCCGGTGATTCGAGGAAGCGTCTCCGGGAACTAGTATTTGCCCCTTGAGAGAGGAAACTAGAAAACGCGGGTGTAACACGGGTTGCCGCTTGTACGGAATTGATTCCGTAAGCGCCTTGCTGTTGGAGTTGTGGTTGCTGCTGCTAGAATATATTTAAAATACAATATTTGAAGTTTAAAATTATTGCTATTATTTCATGAAGCTTTTAAACTCATGAAAATGTCGGAATTATTAAAAATCTAAAATTCATTGTTCGCTCAATATGAAGTAGCAAAACTAAACAGCAACAATAATAAGATAATAAACAATATTTATGCAGGGATTTTAAGAATGACTTAATAAATATTTGAAATTTATTTAGAGTTTTACAAATGATTTATTTGAAGCATTGAAGATTTGAATTAAGCAGGATTGGATGAATAATTTAATGACTATCTGGTATTTAGTCAGAACTTTATGAATTATGTTATAAATATTTTAAAATTATTTTATAAATAATTTTATAAAAATAATTTTAAACTACATGATAAAGTAAGGGCAGTAATCTTGCGATATAATTTTATTAGTGAAAAACACTTCTAGCTTTAAGTTCACTTGAATTAGTGATATGAATTGAATAAAATCGTGACAGAAATAAGGTACATAATGAGACCTAAAAAGTGATAAATATATATTTTTACATACGTGTACTCTATTGAGAATTCTGCTGTCGTAAGGAACTGATTGAAAACCAGACGTAGAAGATGCACTTTGTAATGGATTGAAAGAGGATGCACCGTATAATGGGCTAAAAGAGGACGCACTACGTAACGGATTAAAAGAGGATGATACGCTATGCAGTGGATTGAAACCGAAAGAGTTTCTTGAATTTTGGTTGATTAATCCGGTTTGAATCTGACGCTGAATTTCTTCGTTTTGATCTCTACCTTGGTTCACCTACACACATGAATAAAGCTCCAATTTTATTATTATAGTATCTATTAATGAGTAATGACTGTCATATTTATAAAGTTTTCAAAAATAAAATATACTATTATACCTAGTGTTTATGATTCTAAATTTTTAACATTATGTATATTATGTTACTGTACAATAAATTTCTTATTTTTTAATATATGAAAATAATAATACCTCGCACTCATTATATCATTGTATTTTCAGTTTAAGCAGAACAAGATAAACTATTGTTTTATTCTTGCTAATAAGAATAAAAATATGCTCCATCCCTTGTTATTCTTTTGACCTTATTTATTTGAATATTATTATAAGCTTCAATTTACATAAGTTGAAAAATAATAAATTTCAAAGTAATAAACAAAACAGAAAGCTCGTTAAAACCTACTTTTGGTTGATATAAAAATCCTTTGTCAATAGTCATTATTTAATTATTAAAAAAAAAATGTTTATGAGTTTATTTTTGGCATTTGTAAATGCATGTCAAGCAATAAGCACAAATGAAGCAATGAAAGTTGAAAATGTTACCTGAAAACTATCGTAGATATTGTCATTTGAATTTCTAACGCCATGCGATGAATATCCTAACGGGGATAGCTGTTGAGGTAATGAGGAGGAAATACCTAATGATGATCCATATGTTTGGACATTTGATGTAGATGGACCATGTAAAAGACTTGGGCGAGCTACTGCCACTGTCAAAAGACTGGACAACACCAACTGAAACGCATTTTGCAATGTATTTATATTAGAACCTAACAAGAAAAGTAGGTATATTTATTTAAGATAAGATAGTCATTTAACTATTTAATAAAAGAATATGATAGGATTCTTTTATGATTTTATTGTATATGGTTAGAGGTTTCAAGTTAATCTAATTCAATATATCAAGGCTAAGCGTTTACAGTTATATTAAACAATAATTTTATATAAAATAGGTTCAAATAAAAGTTATATAAAATTATATATAATTGTGATAAATTTCAAAAAATAAAAACAGAGTTTTAATTACTTCTTACTCTTTATGCACCTTTTTTGTTAATGGCGACATAGGTGTCGATTGTTAAAAAGTTATCCAAAACTTAACAAAATTCAATTTAAGTTATTATCACGATTTAATGTACATAATCAGGAATCGTAGTAATACTAAGATTACAAGTAATATATAATATATATATATATATATATATATATATATATATATATATATATGTAATTTTTCATAAAATTAATTATTATTTGAATTGTAACGTTGTTTCATAATATTATTATAAAATTAAATATTATTAATTATAATAAAATTATAAATTTATCTGAATTCAGTTCATACAACATATAAATAATACAAACATATGGTGTATACAATGTGCACACTTACGAAGCTCCGCATCGTGGATTCGCCTTATGGAATATGAATGAACTATCAATTGAAACAACGCACCCAACCACTTCAACTAAGATTCAGAGATCCTGTCGCTCAATTTAAATACATCCACCGACAAATAGAAGAAAAAATTACACAGCGTCGAGCCAATGGAGAACGCATTACCTACTCTACTTAATAAAATCTGACACTTGACATTGAGGCGCTAGATTTCCGATTCGTAATCCATACTTAGATTATACTATGTATTATGCGCATGTACTTTATTAAGCGCACTTACAATTACAAAATCTTGCTCATAAAGAGTATTAATTTACTTAGCATTCCCTTTCATACAATGTACAAATATATAGAAATGTTGTGATGCAAAGATTAGTACCAAAAATTCAAAAGTTTGCCATTTCTAGTCTATAATATTTTAAATATTTTTCCACCATCAAATAGTGTTTAAGTTTATTATAATAATGTAAATGCATAATTATACATTCACTGGTATTTTGAAATAGAAAACTGATTTACATATACTCAAGAGTATAAAATAATTATTTGAATCACTAAATACTCAAAAATATAATCCCTAAAACCATTACACATAATAGATTATGATGTAATTACATCATATATACGTCATATAATCTTATGTACTGAGTAACATTATTTTCATTCTTTAAAAACGTTCGTCTATAGTACAAAAAATAAAGTTACATTGAAATGCCACTGTCAGTCCATATTTCTACAATTATTACAATAACTATTTCATTTTATATTTCCGATCTCTTTTATTTCTACTTGTAGAGCTAAAATGATAAAATTAATACTAATTAGAGGATGAAAATAAACAAAAACGATTGAAGACTTAAACGCACGAAGACGTTTCCGTATGGGCGAATTGATTATTTTATGACTTCGCAATAATATAAAATAATTATCAATTTTTATTCCTACATATAATAATGTAAGTAATATAAATATATATATATAAGTATATAGAATAACTAATGTTAATACCAATTTCAATTTATATTTTAATTTCTTTAAAAATGTATATAACTCCATTGTATAAATTAAAATATGTATGAAATTAAATATTAGTATTATGCACCAAAAATATTAAGATTTTTTTAACTTCCATAGTAAACGAATAAAACAATATAAATATAAAAATATATTATGTATTAAATAAACAAATTCTTCTGCAAAATATAAGCGTAACATATTTGCTTTCACGGTCTGTACCTCTGTGAAAGTATAGGTGTAATAGATATCGTAGGTAACACGAAGAGCTTAATTATTTCGTTAACTATCAGGTTCAAAAAGATTGAAATTTTGTATTACCAAGAAAAAAATGTGATGAAAGATTTATGACAAAAAATACACACGCACTAAAACTTTAGTTTTTACATAAGTGATTTTAGTAAAATTTTAAGCTAACCGCAAGACATTATTTACAAAAATCATTTATTCAAAACATTATTTTTACAAACCAAAATAAATGTTATAATTCATTTGTTATATTAAGCTTTTTGAAATTGATATTTTTATCTATGGTTATTAATTAAATAAGTTATTTTTATGCAAATAAAAAATTAATATTTTAGAAAATTTTACGAACAAAATTAATTTATAAGATGCTTAACAATACCTTTACTTGTATAATAAATTAAAAATTATAACCTATTTATATTAATATTATTAAATGTTATAAATGGTTAATATTAAGAAAACTATGATTAAAAATATGGTCCTTTATTTATTGTTGATTGCAATACTTTATAAATATAATCTCTTAAGAAATTCAATATTAAAATCAGTTTGATTAATGATGACATAAGCTCAGAAATTTTTGTGCTTTAAATATTATAATTTGTATATTTCGCATTATTATCCATTTAATATAATTTATAATCATTTATAGTTTAACCATCAAATTGCAATATTATATTTTGTATGCTATTATTTTATATAAATACTTTATTGTTTAAATATAAAGACATTTATAAATATAAAGAATAATTAAGAATATCATTTAATTAAAAAGTTTACATTAAAATTATATATATATATATATATATATATTCAGAGGATTATAATTCTAATTAGATTTTTATTTTATGGTATTAAAATTATTATAAATTTATAAAATGCTATTTCATATAGAAACCAAATTATATAACGAAGGTAATATAATAGGAGTAATGTAAAATATAGTTACAACGTATATATCTTAAAAAATAAAGTAATTTTTCATATTAAGAATTAACATAATATTTCGAGATTATCGATCTATTTGTCATTTTTCAATAAGTTTTAACCTCTTGTCATTTTTAATTTAAAAAAATATTTCATGTTTTTTTAAGTTGATCGACGTCTTCTTGATTTATTTGAAATGATACAAAATAAATAGAAGTCTTCTTCCGTTTATTAGCCTACAAACATATATTATGTATTTAATTATTTACCATACCCTTCATCCAAAGAAAATCGCTTGTCATCGTAGACCGTTGAGTTAATGTAAGATCTTATGCGATATATATTTCTCACGTGTACAAACCTGTCTTACCTTCCCTTAGAAAATTTTCAAGTTAGCGCTTAACATGCATTCGCATATGCACGTGAACAAGCAGTTTCACATAACTCCACAGGTACGAGACTTGCGCTGTCGGTGGATATGTACCTGAATAATTATATACTCCATTGTTATATCATCATAAACTATAATGGAGCAAATTGAGTTTGGATGTTATACAATATTCTTTGAAAGAAAAAAGGACTAACTCTTGTACGAATATTGTCCCATAGATATTTGCAGGATTAAACAACAAATAGAAATTATTAATAAGATTCTTTAGATGTTTTTCTAATTTCCACATTATTGTGCTGCTGGATGATACTTTGGTTTTTACCTTTGAAGATTTTCAGACAATATATATACATTACATTAGTACTCCATTTTGAAAATTACAATACTGGCTTTTTTATTAAAAATTCAAACCGATGTAATACAAATACTTGCTTTAACTTAACAATCAAGTTTATTGAATAAATGAATTCAGAATTTCGTTTTTATTCAATTTTATTTTATTCAATTCAAATGAAAATGAAATATTATTTAGTAAATTAATTTTATCAAACGGGATATTATATTCAAAGTTATAAAGATTTTTAATAGACAAAATTCTAATATATTTTTTTACCCGAACAGGGTTTCATTAAAAATTTGTAATTAATGTTGAATTAAAGTAAGTTTCGTTTATTAATAAAATAATAACCAAGCATTTTGAATATTTAAACATTTCCAATTATGTTACGTTACAACTATATAATAATAAAAGTTAAGTATATTTATTAAATATTCAAAAATAAATTATATGAATCTATTTTTTCTAAAAAAAATCAACCAAAATACATTTATGGAAATAGAAATGTAGAATTTATTTATTTCGTAAATTACTCTTTATCTTCATCTATTTTACAGTAATTATCATTATTATCATTACCAAATATTTTAGCTCTACACTCATAAATTACGGCCTTTCATTTAATAATGAAGCTTTATATGTAGTATAGTTAGATCGATTAGATCTGCCAATTTTATGATTAATGTATGCCACCGGATTATCTTGACTGACGTCCGAATCACATTACAATGCATTACATTGCCATCAATCTACAAGGAATTTGAATTGCAATGACTAAATTCTTCTGTTCCAATAGCCGTCCATACTATTAGCATATGAAAAATTGCTTTGATTAACACCATCAACATTCAATTACAGTCAACAATATAATTTTCAATCTATTTAACGCTGCTAAAATACATTTTTATACGAAAAACAGCATAATAAATTAATTGTATAATGTACTGATATAAATTACATAATAATAGTTAAATAGCACTGACTTTACATAGCAAGATAATATGAGCACGATTATACTTTTTTTTATTCATTTCTATATTAGAGTTACATATTGATTTATTAATTGATTTATTATTGATTTATTATTGATATATTATTGATGTATTGTGACAATTTTACGTCATTTCTATTGTATCGTTTCATCTATTCCATATAAATTCCCTAAGTATAATTTATAAATTATTAAAGGATAAAAATATTTAAAAGAGACGCTAACAGGTAAAAATTTTTAAAATGCTTAATCAATATACATAACAAAATATATAAAGTAAAACTCATTTATAAATATTTCGCATTACAGATGATAATTTAAATATTGTTATTTTATGCACACTTACGAAATGCATATGTACTTGATATGTACTTGAATGTTCATACTATGATACATGTGATACATGATAAGAATAAAGAATACCTTTGAGTATTCCAATTATAATGCAAAATAAACTATAAACGTTGCCCTTGGAAACGATTAATGAAATCAGTATTGATCTTGGCTAATTTACATCTTAAAAATCTATAATAGTATGTATATTTATATATGATAGAAGAAATTTACACCATAAGATCAGCTTGGAAATTACAAATTTTTAAAAGATTTTGTTATAATTTATATCATATTTATTTGACGAATTTGTATGAAAACTCGTTATGTATCTCATCCACATTAAAATATTGTTCAATGTATATATATTATTTTCTCGAGCAATTCTTGAGAGTTATATAGAGTTTACTTGTTTTGTTGAAATATGTTCACATACTTAAAAACTTATTTGAGTATATTATTCAGTAATATTTCCGCCCATATAATTTATCAGAACCATCGATCAACGTAAGGTAAGATAAATAATGCGTAATATATGAGTTAAAATAAAATTTTTTTAAGATAACTACAGATAATTAGTATAATTTTTCGAATAGTATATATATGTGTGTGTGTGTGTGTGTGTGTGTGTGTGTGTGTGTGTGCGTGTGTGCGTGTGTAATAAATATAACATCAATCAGTATTTATCGGGAAGTAGGTAATTGAAAACTGGTTTGTACTAATTTTTTCAACTTTTTATCCGGTATTTATATCTTGAAAACTTAAAAAATATGATTATCAATTAATGTTGAATTATAATAAATTAATACTAAATTAAAAGATACTAAAAATAGATACTAAAAGTGCTTGAATGTACAAGCTTATAAATACCTTAATTTTTCCATGATTCACATTTATAACTATGCATTCGTAAATTAATATTTTATATTAAAAAAAAAAAAAAAAAAAAAAAAAAAAAAAAAAATGAAAACGCCGGTCGTGAAATAGGCGAGATCTCGCATTCTGTATACGAATAAGCTCGTTACTGTGCAGTCGTAGATCGTAATCAGGTCGTATATCAACTGATCTAATTGGCCCTGAAAATCGTAAAACGAATAGGCACGGACGGGGAAGAATATGTAGGTGCGTCAGCATAAAAATTGAACGCTGTTCGGAAGAAGGCGAAGCGACCTCGGGAATCCTCGGTATCACCACGGAGCGACAACAACATTCTTCTCGGGCTCGTCCTCCTCGCTGAAAAATCTCTCTATTAACGAGCAGCGTAGTCCGGTTTACCCGGGTGACCGTCCTTGAATCTCCGAGTGCATTCAGAATGAACTTATACGCTTGCAACCTGTTCCACGTGTTGATTGCGTCGGCGCACCTTTGCTGTTAGTCCAGGGAGGAAAAAGCTTGAAGCTGCCGTCGAGGGCGACCAAGTAGGGTGGCGTATATAAGGTGATCCGTAGTACAACTCTTTATGATACTCGAGTCTTGGTTGTGGATTATTGAAGAGTTGGATAGAGAGAGAGAGAGAGAGAGAGAGAGAGAGAGAGAGAGAGAGAGAGAGACGAAAGCGAGAATAGGATGAAGGCAATCCTGATTGTGAGTATTCTACATCGAAGTTTATCAAAGTGACTACATTCTTTCATTTATTATTATTATTACGTTTATTTCGGGAGAAGACAAATGTCTCTTATTTTCGATACTTTTACTGAGCCAAATTGTAAAAAGTGAGTTGTATGCATATACAGTAAAATTTACTTACAGAAAATTTATTACTTTTTAAAAATTTTATTGCCTGCCGTTTTTACAATTCTTATAAATATTTTCCATTCGTCGCCTATGAATTCATGCGGAAATAATAATTTGCCTCTTTAATTAATCAATGCTCTTGAACTACTTGCACCATCAAATGTTTGTTATTTAATTGCAACTAAATGACGAAATATTGAATACGAAATATTACTTTAATAACTATTGAATCAAAATTTATTATAACTATAATTTTTTCCTAATTAATTTTTCCTGAGCAACGTAATTTATGTGTAGAGAATTAAAAATAAACAATTGTCATTTCAAACTCCATTGTAGTACTTGAATTCATAATAATTGAAAAATAATGTATTTTATGTATATTTTATATTAGACTTATATATAAATAAAATATGTTCTAACGTGTGCACAAACAAACTGTATTCATAAATATATATTTATAATTATAAATTCATTCTTATAAATTGAATGATAAATATCTTTTATCTTTAAATATTCTATTTTAAGGACTTGATTTAATTATAAATGTACATGTATAAATAAAATTTATCAAAAGATAAGTTATTTTAAACAATGTACTAAATAATCTGAATTATTGCAATGTTAATCAATAAAAAAATACATAGAAAATATGTGAATTGATATAATAAATATTTCCATGAAATGTTAGAAACAAACGATTACAATTTATGTATAAAATATTTATTAACTAGAAATCACATTAGTTTCATTAAAATTATAATATTTTATTATACAAAAAATGCTATAGAAATAAAAATCTCTCCAAATACCTAATCACTTAGCATATTTTTATTGTTCAATAATAGAATTGTTGTACTTTTTCATATATCTAAAATGTATATTGACATTTTAGATTTTAAATCATTTTATATTAATATTGATTTAATATTTATAAATTTTTATCATTCAATTTTATGAATAATTTAATATTAATACATGTATTATTTGAACATTGATTTTTATTCTAATATAATTATGTTGCTTACGTGAGTACGTCAAATATGAATTAACGTAAATATTACTATAAATTATTATTACATCAATAATACAAAATAATCAAGTTTCAATAAATTTTTAATATTTTCGTAAATTTGTAAAATAATACATACGAGCATGAATATTTCAATTCTAATGATTGCTCAATTATAGTAAACGATAAAAGTTCATTAATTAATCAATAATGTTGTATGAGATAAATGAAATATATAAAAATATATAAAATGAAGGGCTTTTAGAAGTTTAAATATTCCAATATACAATTTCATATAATTTATCTTTGGTAACTTGAACTTATTTTGTTAGCAAGCTTTCTAGTTTATAATTTGTATAATTTGTATTTGAATAATTTCATGTCATCATCAGTATGATAAAAAAAAATACATTTGATGAAATTACATAACTTGCATACTTCATATCAATAATGAAGACGTATCATTGTCTTAGTCGATAAAAAAAAAACTTACAACGAATTAGCTGCATCTCGAGATGTGAAAGCGATTATATTGACACTTAAGCAACAGCGTCCTCTCGCATACATTATTTTTTAAATAATGCACGGTAATTGTAGAATCCTATTTAAATTAATAAGAAACATAATTTTTGTAATAGCTAGGAGTTATTTTAGTAAAATTGGAATAACCATTCGATCCATGATCGGTCGTTAAAATTAGCGGAGAATGGGGCAGTAACTTCGTTAAAGGCATGTACTCTCTCGCAACATTTCAGACGAGTCTTTGTCTCGGCTTAATAGCCAATGGTGCAGCCAACCCGCCACTCTTCCTCAGCTACCAGGACAGCATCGGCCAATATAGCTTCGGCTACAGTGGACCGATGTCAGCGCGCTCGGAGTACCGAAGCTCGGACGGTGTAACACGCGGCACGTACAGTTACATCGACAGGAATGGCCTCATCCAAACGGCCGAGTACGAGGCCGGCAACGATCTTGGCTTCAGGATCAAGGCCACGAATCTGCCGGAGGCTCCGCACCCCGTGCAGGATACCCCCGAAGTCAAGGCTGCGCGCGATAAACACCTGGAGCTGCTGGAGGAGGCGAAGCGCCGGGTGGAAGCCACGGCGAAAAGCAACGTTGGACCTTCGCTACCGAGGATTCGGAGCAACGCACAAATGCCACTCTTTCAACTACGAGTGCCCAATGCAGTTCATGTGGATTATCAGTCAGGTGAATTATGGCGTTTTTATGGCTCGGAATGAAATTGACCACGACCACCACTATGTTCGTCTCTTTGCAATACTCGCGCGTTGATGATGAGGCTTGGTTAATTTGATCAGTATTATCGGGCTTCATTATAAATTCTAATGCTGATGTCGAAGACATCTTTATCCATGGAAATTCAAAGCCTCCTATCAATCTCATGATGTTCTAAAACGAACTTTATGGTTGGCAATAAACGAGAGATTATTGAAAGTAGCTTTTGCTTCAAAGTTAAAATCATGTAGTACATTACTTAGTGAATTTTACAATAAATAATAGAACTTTCGTATGTAAAATATAAGCTCATAGAAAACGAAGGAAGTAAATTTAGTATCGGAAAATTAAATATTTCTTACAGCCTTTGAATACACATAATTAATAGATGAAAAAATTATCTATCACATTCAAAATTGGCAGTATCGGTTATTTGAGCAAATAATTATTGATTAATAAGATTCTTAATTACGATAAAGTCAAATAATCGAGAGCAGAATCATAGGGTTTGCTTCCTTTAGAGATTATAACATATTTTAAATGAAATACCAGTCGCACGACCGATCATTCCGATCGTTAGGATTAACACGTAGATAGCATCCTAATATTATAAATCTTCTCTGCACCATTCTATATATTTTCTAATTATACACACTAATTAACAACAAAATAATGGAATATTAATTCCCTTTCAAATATTACAAAACTTAAAGAATCACATGAAAATTCGAGTAAATGTATTAAACAGTGATAAAAGTTTTGTAATAAATGTTTTTCAAACACAAAACAACAATTAATTATGGTTTTGTGTACTTTTGTCATAAGGAAAACTAATGCCTCAGGGAAAAAATGCAGCATCAGTTGAACATTTGCAACATGATGATCGGAGTATCGAATTACCAGCCAAAATTATATTTCACTCCAATATCGGCCCGGAGACATCAGCACCTTCTTCTCCAACAATACAGTCTGAGCCAATTCAATATACGCCAGAGGTGACGGCTGCGCGAAAAGCTCATTTCAGGTTTTATGACACCGCGGCCAAACTCGCAACCCTGACTGATTCGGATCCCAATGTTCTCATGCAATTATACAGAAATCAAGCGGATAGATCAAAAACCTCAATGGTTCGTCATGAGAATTTATACGATCGTGGGGCTTTTAGTTTACGAGGCTTAGATAAATCTAATGACTTGTCATTTTCTTTATGGGAAAACTCGGGGACTAATTTGAAATCTGACTCTGAAAAAATATCATTTCTGGTAAACGGAGAAAGAAAAATGGTAAGAATTTCACATTATTCATGACTATATGTATTTACTGAATATGTGTTACGCAAATAGCGTTACTATTAATTTGACTTTGTTTCAACGAATTGTCTCAAGATATTTTGGCTATAAATCGTTTCTAGTTAGTTCCAAATGAATTTTTATGTAAAAGTTTATTGCTATGCATTTGAAAATTATGTCAACATTCGAATATCTGTTTAAAATTATATTAGTATGATATATGAAAAAATTACCGAATATATTAAAAAATTTTTTGGAGGACTTTTAATTTATATATATTCAATTTATATTATTGACAAATAATTTGCATATTCTTTTAAAGTTAATGCAAATTGATATCAAGGATCAATTAAATTTAATAGACAGCAATGGGAATTCCTTCATAAATGTTTTAGCGAACGTTACTAATAATTGGGTAAAAAAATGAATTATCAATAGTCTTTGCTCTTTCAATATATAAAACATACATAAATCACCCACTCGTGGTCATAAAGAAAACACAAAAAATATCATAAAAATTATTTTTTTAAGTTTGATAATAAAATTGTTGAATATTTGTAGAAAAAATTAATTTTTATTATCCTTAAATACGTTTTTCCCCGTAGAAGGATGAAGTGGATAAATTACAAGTCATTCATTTGATCACAACTAGAGATAAATCAAAGCATGCATTAGGTAAGTTATTATGTACTGGTGTAGAGTGAATAAAATATTAATTTCAAATTCAACTAATTAGTCATATTACGATTGAAATTATTAGATAATTTCATTTTGAATATCAATTGAATCATTTATTATTATCAATCACTAATATTAGTCTAATAAATTATACCAAATTAAAAAGGTTCTGGTAAAGCTTTGGTGTTCTTTAAAATAATTACCGACATAATATAAGAATAAATTAAATAATTGTCATCTTAATAAAAAGTAATAGATTTTATTTTATTTTTTTTAGTTTGATTTTAGTTTGATTTATAATTATAAATCAAAATTAATAAGTTTCTCTTTATTTTAATTCAATTAGAAAGCCTTTAAATTTTTAGTACAATAAAAAAAATTAAAAATACAAATAGAAAATTCAAAATACAATACTACAAAAATTATAAAATATTGAATATATAAAATTGAAATAATGTATTCACTATTTACGTCATAAATTAACATTCAAATTAATATTTTAATACTAATTTAATCAACAAATATTTGAAATTTTGATTTTCTGAAAATTACTTTTGAACAAATATAAATAATTTATTTCCAAATAAAATGGAAATATATGTATGAGCATGTTTACTAGAACAGATTATTTAAAAATTATTATTAATTGAGGTTGCTTTTTACTCAGATTTATTAAAGAATTTGAATTATTATATCAATACTATTTTACATTTTAAACAAATTAAATTTGAACAGCATTATACTTATATAACTGAATTTAATAAATACTTTTGTTAAGCACAATAATAACAGTGCCAATAATAATAATAATAATAATAATAATGATCATCATTGTTATAATATTAATGTAAACGATAATAAGTAATAAGCAGCTAAATAAACATAGAAAAGTATACAAAAAATACATTTGTCAAGAGCTTTTATTCTTCTTTACAAAATAACGTTGTATTTTTATGAAACAATAAAAAATTGTCATAATACAGAAATTTATGAATGTGTATAATATTACAACTAATAATGACAATAATTTATAACTATTAACTATACTTAAAACACAAATCGAGGTATTATTATAATAAAATATTAAACATATTTTCAAGTAATTAAAGCTATAAATCTAACTTAATAAATAACAATACAGTTATTTTATTGCCAATACATTGTTATCAATGAATTGTGTAAATAGGATAGCAATTTTCTAGACATCTGAGATGTTATGTCGGCAGAGTCGATGAGTCTACTGATCCATTGAATTTGCATATGTGATCTTTCACATGTCCAAAGAGTCTCTAAGCAGAGAAAAATTCATAATTCTGCCATTGAAATTAACTTTTATTGATCTAAATCTTATATTTCTTTTACACACGTGATTTTACGCAGTTAAAACATTTAATCTCTATTGTTTCCGTAAAAGCAAAACGGAAATCCACAAATTATTATGAAATAATCACAGTATATTATATTTAACCTATTGTAGTTTCATAATCGTATTTGGATACTATTGGAAGTTGCTTTTATAATTATTATTTTGATTCTGCATTTACAGTGGAGAAGCAATATTTAATACATTTTGTTTATAGAGAATATAATAGAACATAATATAACAGAAATATAATATAATTGATCAATCCATTCAAAACATTTTCTTACAATCATAAATTATTTTACATTATTTTTTTAGAAGAACATTTTGAAGAACATTAAAAAATATTAAATATTAATATTTTTCTTATAAAAGATACATTACGTTGCATAAATTGAAATTTCAATACTATACTTATTTTAAAATGTATCTCTTAAAATATTCAACGTCAAATCAAGTCTTTGAAAATAAAAAATATGAATTTTAATTATTCTCTTCAACATGGTTAATAATTGACTTTCTTGATTCTTTAAAATATAAATTTACTTTTGTAAATTTACTTCAACATATCGCTCAATTAATTAATTATGAATTACTCTATTTTTAAAATGAATCATCATTAATTATAAATTAATTTATAAATATTTACTGATAATTATATCTGTCATAAATTAAAGTATTATCATTTTCCATTATTTCTACGGCAAACAGGCAGTTGATGAATCCTTTCAACTGCGTAATTTTTTTTTAATTTTTGTTATAGGACTCCCAATTTTACTATTTAAATCTACATTTATATGTCCATATGTTGCTAGTGCAGCAATGAATCTACGTCAAGATTTCTTTCCTGTATTATATATATATATATATTTGTTGTTGTTGTTGTTGTTGTTGTTGTTGTTTCTTAGCCTCATACTTGAAATAACGAACTGTTGATTAAGTCCAAGCTTCTCGAATAATAAATAAAACTCCTAAGTCAACATAGGATACGATCATTGACGCGAGGCCTAGATTTCTTCATTATTTGAAAATTAATAAAAGAAATAAAATGTAAATGATTCAGAAAAAAATTAAAATTAATTTTCTGCAAAAAGATGCATGCCTATTAATTTATGAATAAAATATTTTAAATTTAAAGACTATTAACAATAATATTAATAACAATGATAATAATAATAATAATTAAGAATAGTAATAATAAAAAATGGGCAAATTGTTTAAAAAATCAAAGCCTCGTGCATTTATAATCGAGAGTTTAATAATTTATTCTCTCGTTTTAGCGATTCCTTTGTAATACTGGAGACCTGTTAAGACGCTAAGTTTTTCATTTATCTGTACGACAATCATAAAGTTAGTGGTGTAATCGTTTTCGCAATTTATAGTATAATCAATAATAATATAACTGCTAGTAGTGATTAATATTAATCCTACCAGTACGCGCGGTCGATTAATGCATATTTAGCAATCACTTTCTGTTTTCCGCGCGTCACATAATTTTACAATTACCTTTTCACTTCTTTACATATAACATCCTCTCCTTCTGTCATTTTTTCTTTCTTCTCGATATTTTTTCTTCTCTGTTGCCTTGTACATATATATTTATGTTCATATAAATCTAAATACAATATGCAGTTGTTATTCTGCTCATATTTTTTATATTTATATATATAATGCTTTCGTTCTAACACAATCAATAACGTCCACGCTTCGTTCTGTTAATAAATTTTAATAGTTTAATATATTTGTAATTTAATGCTTTTCTACTTCTTTCTCTCTTAGGCTGGGTACCTATTTCAATTCTTTCTTCTCCTTTCTAGTTTTCCTTCATTCCCTATCCCCTCATAATGCGTATTTCATTATTACGCGTTCGATCATATATCGCATAATTTACAATTGTTGACACTACACTGAAAATAATTTTCTAAATTTAAGAAAACTTTACTTATAAGCATTTTTCAGTTTTATTTAACCATACTAAAGGAAAACATAGAGTTATTAAAAACCAAATCAAACTTTAAAAAAATATATAACATATTACTTTTAACTTACTCATAATGATTAAAATTATTTTTTTACAAAAGTTTTAAATCGGACATTCGCATTACTAGTAGTATAATTGAATTACATAAAATTAAAAAAAAAAATCGTTATTATTATTGATACTACATTTACAATAAATATTGAATTCGAATATTAACCCTTTAATTGGCTTATTCAGTAATTATTCATGTATACAATAGTTAATAATACAGGCTTTTAAATACTAAAATTCAATCCTTTCAAGCATAAAATACAATTCTTTTTCTTTTAATATTGTATTATATTAAAAACAAGATGTAATTTACTACTTTAAATATTATAAATTATCATAATAAATCCTCGTAATAAAGATACTTTTGATTATTTTTTAAATAGAGCATTGAAATATAATACTAAAAGTAAATAGTTGTTAAATTTGGAATATGTTCCCAGCGTAGAGAATAAAAACAATTTGCGAATGAATCGCCTATTATAATTTCATATCAACTATAAATTCTCATTAATAATCATTTGATAAGAGTTAGTTCTCATCTTTCTTTGTCCTCCTATAAATTGCAAAATCCTTATTTTGTCTAAATAGTTCAACTTTTCTCCGTATTTGCTTTTCTTAGATTTTCTTGCATTCGATTCGATCATTTTTTCAATTTAAACTTTTTTTTATTTTTATATTGAAAGACCAAACATGAAGCTGGGCGGTATTATTTTCAGAACAATTAAATATCATTCTTCTGATGTATATCTTACTTACAAGTACTATTAAAGACATTTGTTTTAAAAATACGGTTAAAAAGAAAATTAAGTTGAACAAATCAAATTTTTAATCGTACACAAATATTATTTCCCACAAGTATGCTAAAGTTAAAAAATTGAAATTATAAGTTTAATGATTCTGTTATATTTATATATTTATATATTGTAAACCAACTGCTAAAAACAAATATTTTATATTTGAAAATTGAACGTTAATTACTATGTATAACAATCAAAGCAATTGAAGCTGAAACTTATGTAATTGTTGACCTTGCAATGCCTAAATAACAAATGAAAATACATTTGATACTACGATAAAAGTATTCTGCTATAAAAGCCGAAAGTTCATGAAGAATTAATTCTCGATATTGCAGCGGAATTAATTATACTGTTCATAAATACTGAACATTATTCCGTTCACGTTACCTTATGATTATGAAACTATGTAACGGAATAAATGTTTCAAATCTCATGTAGCTCACGTGAAACTCCTTATCACCTTTACCATACACAAGGAAACATTTCAGTAAATAATTGGTACTGTTAGTTTACAATGCTGTACACCCATATTAATTTATAATTACACTTATTATTTATTCGCAATTGACTCTATACTTCTACACTGTACTTTTTTCATTTAACTATAACATAGTAGATACCTCAAAAAATCCTTCTCTTTTTTATTTCTTCAATTATCAGTATTTCTCTCTCGCTTATTTATGCGTATATGCGTGTGTATTTACTTGTATTATATGTAATATACTTTTATTTTTCAATTAAAACTTTCGGCTTTGTCTGACTGATTATCTCAGTTGTAACATGCTTACATACATATATACTTTTCTCAACTATTTGTTTATATCGACAATGGAA